GATGTCAAATGGATTTAAAATTAATGAATGTGACAAATGTGTTTATGTTAAAAACACAAATAAAGATTATGTTATAGTATGCCTTTATATTGATGATATACTCATCATAGGTAATAATAATGACATGATTAAAACTACCAAGAAAATGTTGAATGAACATTTTGACATGAAGGACATAGGGATTGCTAATGTAATTCTTGGTATGAAAATTACCAAAACATTAGAAAGATATGCTTTGTCACAGTCACATTACATTGAGAAAATACTTGACAAATTTAGCAAAGATGATAATTATCTTACCAGAACACCCGTGGATGTTAATTTGTTTCTTTCTAAGAATGTATAGGAAAGTATTTCTCAATTAGAGTATGCCCAAATTATTGGAAACATAATGTACTTAATGAACTGCACTTGCCCAAATATAGCTTATGCAGTAAGTAAATTAAGTAGCTATACAAGTAATCCAAGAGTAAAACAGTGGAAAGCTATTATAAGGGTTCTAAGATATCTCAGATTTACTCGTAACATTGGGCTAAACAATACTAGATATCCAACGGTACTTGAAGGATATTGTGATGCAAACTGGATATCAGATACTAGAGACTCAAAATTCACTAGTGGATATGTCTTTACTCTTGGTGGTACGGCTGTATCTTGAAAATCTTCCAAACAGACTTGCATTACTAGGTCTACTATGGAATCGGAGTTTATAGCATTAGATAAAGCTAGAGAATAAGCAAAATGACTTCGTCACTTCCTTGAAGATATTTCAATGTGGTTGAAACATGTGCTTGCTATATGCATACATTGTGATAGTCAATCGACAATAGATAGAGTACAGAGTCATATATATAACAGTAAGTCACGACACATTCGTCGTCGACATAACATCGTGAGACAATTACTCTCTAATAGAATTATTTCCAATGAATATGTGAAGTCTAAAGACAGCATAACGGATCCACTAACCAAAGGGTTAGCAAGAGAGTTAGTTGAAAATTCATTAAGGAGAATGGGACTTAAGCCTATTTAATAAGAGTTACCATAGCAGCAACCTAACCTAGTAAACTAGAGATCCTAAGATCTAGGTTCAAAGGGACAACTAAGTTGTGTATGATTCACAAGGATCACTGGGGAGTTGAACTCCTACCCATTTCTATGATGAAATAGTGATGTCTGCAGCGTGTTAGGATAAACAATGCTTTTAATGATTCTTATATCTAGGAATACTTAGTGGAGTATAGTAGAATACTTTTCATATGAATAGCCTATATGAGTGTGAACTGGGCCGGTTCTATGAGTTTTGTAAGGGCTACAATTCTCTAGAGTACTTATGAAGTACCAGGTTGTTTAGGGCCAAAATGAACACAATCATGAGAACCAAACTATGTCTAGAAATATGTTGTGTGAGTTCTATTGTCTTGGTTTACATAAATGGCTGAACAGTTCAACACATCATGTTTATTGATTAGCTAATAAATCTGATAGTGTCTCACAAGGGAAGGTTTAAAGTCAAAAGCTATCTATCATTTGCAGAATATCTCCGATTTCTGTACTCTCTTTAGGAACATCATGTTGTTGTATTTTCTCTTTGTCAATTCCATTCATGTGGGGGATTGTTGGAAATTTTGATTTTATAGGCTTATTTTGGGCCATCTTTGAGCCCAAATTAGTGGGGCCCATACGTCGTTCAAGGTGGGTCTAAGCGGAGACGTGTTCCTTATTGCATGGCAAGTCACATAGTGAAGACGAATCGTCAAAACCGTTTATGAGTGAATAGAGAGTTGACGTCGATTTCGGTTTCGTAAAATGAAAAGTCAACGAGTCAAATGTGGGTTATTTTGTTTTGGAAGAACTTTTGTCGGTGGCAGTGAGGCGGCGAACTTCTTGCTTAGCCCCTCCTCTCCCTTCATTAGCGGTGACGACAGGACAGCACGACGTAGTGAGCTTCTCCTTCTTTAGCCCCTTCTCTCTTTCTCCTTTATCTCTCTCCCCATTTCTTAGTCGCGTTTGAAACAATTGAAACTCATTAAATTTTTTTTTTGGTCTCCCTCATCAAAGTCATCTCAGCCCTTGCTTCCGTTAGTGGGACATGACGCACTTTGGAGGATCACCCTGGAGGATCCAAACAACCGTATCTATGTTTTCTTAATCAGACCTGCCTTTTTAGCTCGTTAAAACGAGGGATGGGTTTACCTTCAGCTTGGGGTTGAGGTTGCTTTCGTAATTTCAGTTTCAATCATAAAGGGGTTCAAAAACAATCGGTTTGTTTTTTAGATAACAACTAGTTTGGATTGGATGATTTGAAAGGTAATTCTACTTGCACAATGATTTTAATTCATTACAGCCTTCATTTTAAATGTTTTTTTCATTCCAATTTTACCAATGTACAAAATTACCCTTAAGCGTAAAAATAAAAAAAATAAAAATTAAATATCTCTTTACACTCATTCCACCTTAAATCCTATTTTCTTTTCTTTCTTTCTCATTTCATTTTTTCTATTTCACAAGTCCTTACAAAAGTATTAACACTACAAAAAAATTGCTTTTTTGCGACGGTAAAACACCGTCGCAAATGCCTCAAACGCCGTCTCAAAAAGTTTTTTGCGACGGTAAGTGGCTTTTTGCGACGGTAAGTGGGGGGTCGCAACAAAAGGGGTTGCAAAAGGGTTTTAGCGATGGCATGACACCGTCACCTTTTTTTTGCGACGGCAAAATGCCTTTTTTGCGACGAAAAAATTATGTCGCAAATAACGCATGAAAATCTGAATTTTTTTGAGACGGTATTGTGTTGCCGTCGCTAAAAGGGGTTTTTGCGACGGCAAAAAATACTGTCGCTAAAAGTTTATTTGAGACAGCACCTAAGCCGTCGCTAAAGGACTATTGGCAACGGTAATAACACCGTCGCTAAAGGCCTTACTTGTCAACCAATTCCCTATCTTTTGCAACAGTAAAGGTGCCGTCACAAAAAATCCTGGTTCAATTTTCTTTTTGAGACGGTGTGTGTTGCCTTCTCCAAAAAAAAAAAACTGTATTAAAATTAATAAAAATATGAAAATAATCTGTATTAAATGAAAAATAACTAAAAAAAACCCAATAATTATATAATAATATAAATACATACATAAACAAAAGTTAGCACATAATGAAAATTCATAATGTTGTTTCATTCATAACAATACATAAATAGAAATTCATAACAATAAAAATTATCCCATTACATAATGTCGCATAATACATACATAATGTTGTTCACAAATCTAAATAACGTAAATCAAAACCAAAAGTTTTCGTCTTGATTCTTCCATGGGTTACAAAAATAAAAGTTATAATCTTTACACGCCCGCATTCCACAAGAAGCAAACTGCTACTCAGGAAATATTTGAAAATAACAAAATAAAAATAATTAATGACAATATAATGGTGTTAATATTTTAATTACAGAAAAATATAAAAAATTAACTACTATATAATTACAAAGATGAACAAAATAAGATGCAATGATCTGATGGTCATACAAATATGAAAACAGATTTCTATTAAACACTATAGACAAGGTATTTCGTTTATTTATTCCAACTCACGAACTGTAATGAGATAATCATCATAAAATGCATATGAATACAGACGTGTTGTAAATTTATTGTAAACCATTCTGAACTCCAAATAATAATTTCGATAGCTTAAGTAGCCTATAAAAATAGTGTAGTTTCTCAAAATTATTTGTTCATAATAGAAAAAGAAACATAGCAAACTCGTAACTTCAAAGAGAAAAACAAACAAAAGTTTAGATTTATTAATACAAAAAAAGAAGCACATGGAAATGAGGGCTCTAAAAAGGAAATATTATATCAATTCATAAGTCCATTCCACAACAAATTACAGTTAAGCAAATTCAAGTGAGGTAGAAAGAGAATTTAGAAAGTAACCCCCCACCAATTGACCCAGGCAGACTTTGGACACCTAGGTGGACACACACATAATAAGTTTGAAAAAATAAATTTGGATACAACATAAATTTATACATATTAATCCCTCCTACTTTAAACCTAAAAAATTAATGTTTATCATCTTTGAATGAAAATCATATATATGAAAAATAATACAAATATATCTTTTGCATGTGTCCCTCACATGCCATGTCTTCTATTTTTTCAAAATTATCATGCTAGTGTGTCCATGCCCAAGTAACTAATTCGGCAAAGATCGAGAGCACCATGAGAGCATCTATATTATATAATTTTATATATCATATTATTTTTAAAAAAAATAATTTATTTAAGTATTGTTATATTTTAATATAATTAAGATTATATTAGTAATTATTTGCATAATTTTTTAGTCATATAATTTTTATACTAAATATCTAGATGCTTTTACTAGCTGATTCAGTACTTAATTTTTTGTAAGTTCAATAAAATCAAGACACGTAAACAAATAACAAAAAATGGAGTCGAGTGGTGCAACAGAAGCTTCTCTTAATTCATAAAAGTGACAGGTTCAAATTCAAATCCTTCAAAAAGCGTTGTTGTTTTATTATTATACACGGAGACACAACGAGCCAGCAAGGTGATGGAGGATACTAGGTGAGCATGGTACACTAGTAGTTTATGTGTTATTCAATTATTGGCTAATCCATGAGTGGCTGGGGGAATTTTCAAACTGAAATTAATTGATCCACAGATTAATCATGGATTAAAACTCAATCTGTCGATTTGCATTCTAGTTCATGATTCACATCCAAACTATTTCAAACCCACTAAAACCGCATGTTTTCCTGGTATAAGAAGCACAGACACTTTAACATCGTAACTTTTTTGGAAAAAAAGGACACCACGCAGATATATAATTTTATATATTTGTTTTGTCATATTTATGAATAATAATTCATTCAAAGATAATAATAAAAAAATTTAAAAATCTAATAACTGTATAACACTAAATTATATTCCAGCCTTGAAGCACTGCTAACAAAATTTTATCATTGTAGTGTCGGCTGCGTCACTATGTCAGTTAGAAACACCATTTCTACAATGATTTTAAATAAGACTCATACCTTTACAAAAGAATGTGATGGAATTCTAAGAAGTCCAACTGCAGGCTCCATCTTCTCAGCATCTACAAAAGCAACTTCAGGCCAGAACCAAGCACATGTGACATGGACCCACAGGGAGTCAACATCAGTTGGCTTCAAAGCTCCCCTTGCAGAAGCAGCATTCAAATCTATAAGAATCAAAAAACAGAAAATGAAACTGGGTATTTAATGCATAAATAAGGATATCAATGGGAATGCCTTTAACAGGGCAGAGACAACACTCCTTCTCAACATTAGGAGTTTCGCATGCTCTGCAAACCCATGATGTAAAATCCTGAACATTGTTTACTCCATAGCACTCTTGATGGACTGCTATTTGACACCTGAACTCAACAAGTTAAAAATAAAATTGACCCAGATGATTCTACTAGAGTTCCTCAATCACGTGCTATCTCATCTTAGCAAATAAATTGTAATTCAAATGCATAAAATGTGATGATTAAGCATAAAGATTCATGAAGAATAGTAACACCTGTTGCAAATAATAATTTTGTTATAGTCTCAATCCTCAACCCATCTACATACACAGATTCAACACAACTAAGAACAAATTTCTTAACATACATACATACATACATACACAGATTCAACAAAAATTCTTAAGAACAAATTTAAACAAATTTCTTAACATACATACATACATACATACACAAATTTCTTAAGAACAAATTCAACAAAATCAACATGAATCTGATTAACATACATACACACAAATTCAACAAATTCCTTAAGAACAAACACACAGAGAGTGATCGGTGCAGAATAAAATAAATAGAACAGATCAGATTCCAAAACAAAACCAACAAGCAGATTCCAAAACAAACAGAACAGATCTGTTGGTCCAAAACAAACAAACAGAATAGATCTGTTCGATCGGTGCAAAGATGAGAGATCAGGGAGAGAGAGAGAGAGAGAGAGAGAGGCTTACCTGTGAGTTGATCGGTGCAGAGATGCAAAACCAGAGTGTGAGACTGATGAGATGAGAGAGTGAGGGAGACAGATCAGATCAGAGAGATATCTGATATATATATGTATATATATATAAAACAAAAAAAAAACAACGATCGGGGCGAGAGAGAGAGAGAGAGACAGATTGAAAGAGAGAGTTTACCTGTGAGTAGATCGGCGGTGCGATGAGATGAACAACGAGAGAGTCAGAGAGTGATCGGTGCAGATATAAAGAACAACGAAATGAGAGAGTGAGGGAGAGAGACAGTGATGAGTTGAACTTGAGATGAGACTGAGAGAGTGAGGAGACGATTAGGGTTCTAAGAGATTGGGGATTTTGGGGGCCGCGGGAATGGAAAAAAATGGGGGAACCGAGCGGGCGGGATTGGGAAAAAACATATATTTAAATAATAATAATTTTCATCATAAATGAATATTTAAATAATAAAAAATAATAATAATAATTTTCATTTTCATCATAAATGAATATTTAATGAATGAAAAATTATTATTATTAATTTTTATTTGGTAGAAGTAAGGATAATATTTTAATGAAAAATATTTTCTATTAAGAGTGATGAGTGAGAGAGAGAGAATGAGAGAAAGAGAAACAAATAGACAAAGAGAGAAAGAGATAGAGAGAGAGAGAGAGACAGAAAAAGAGAGAGAAACAAGAGATGAGGGATACAAAAACAGAGAGAAAGAGCGAAAAAAGATGAATGAGAGAGAGAATAGAAAAATAGAAAGATAGAGAGCAGAGAGATGGGCGAGAGAAAGACAAAAAGAGAGAAAAAGGAGAAATGAGCGAGAGAGACAGAGAGAGAAGAGAGATGAGAGAGATAGAGAGAAGAGAGATGAGCGAGAGAGACAGAGAGAGAAGACAAATGGGAGGGATAGAGAGAAGAAAGATGAACGAAAGACACACAGATAAATAGACAAACAGACAGAGAAAGAAGAGTGATGAGTGAAAGAGAGAAATAGAAGAATGGTGGTAGTTGAATGGCATTTGCAGTAGTGGTAAATGTGGTAGAGAATATGGGTGGTGAGAGAGAGAGATGAGTGATAGACGAATAGAGAAAAGAGAGAAAGAGACAGAGATAGAGTGATGAGAAAGAAAGAGACAAAGTGGTCGCTAAAAGTGTATTTTCTTGTAGTGGATCGATAAATCGAAAGGGAGCTCAATAAATAAAGAAGAGATGAGAGAGAGAGTGAGCATGGCGAACACAGTGGGGGGGAGAGAGACAGACAGACAGACAGACAGACAGAAAGAGAGAAGAGTGGTGAGTGAGAGAGAGAGAGAGACGGAGAGAGAAAGATAGACATAAAAAGAGAGAGAAACAAGAGATGAGCAAGAGATAAACTAAAAGATAGAGAAAGAAAGTGAAAAGAGATTAGTGAGAGAGACATAGAAAAAAAAAGAGACAGAGAGAGTGGTAGTGGTAGCGGTCATAGTTCCACCCATTGATTTAAGTATGGTTGTTTGCTTTAATCTTTCAAATCATAATTCTACATCCATTTTTCAAAACTTAATTCAAAATATAATCATTACTTTTCGAAACTCATAATCAAACACATAATTCAAAACTCTTTTCAAAGCTTAATTCAAATCAATTTTTTCATAGTGAGGGATAAATAGACAAATAGACAAGTAGACAGAGAGAGAGAAGAGTGATGAGTGAGAGAGAGACAGAGAAGAGAGACAGAGACACATAGAGAAAGGGAGAGACAGACAGACATAGAAGAGTGATGAGTAAGAGAGAGAAAGAGAAGAGAGACAGAGACAGAGAGATAAGAAGATGAAAAAATGGGTGAAAAGAGAAATGTTCAAAAGAGTAAGGCGACGTCGTTTATAGTGGATCGATAAATCGAGAAAGAGCTCGATAAATAGAGAAGATGGGAGTAAGAGAGTGAGCAAGGCGAACATAGTGAGGGATAAATAGACAAATAGACAAGTAGACAGAGAGAGAGAAGAGTGATGAGTGAGAGAGAGACAGGGAGAGAGAGAGAGAGAGACAGAAAAAGAGATAGAGAGAGAAAGAGAGAGAGAGAGAGAGATAGAGGGAGAGATAGAAAAAAAGAGAGAAACAAGAGATAAGCGAGAGATAGACAAAAAAAGAGAGAAATAGAGTGAAAAGAGATGAGAGAGAAAAAAAAAAGAAATGAGAGAGATAGAGAGATGAGCGAGAGTGACAAAGAGAGAAAACAGATGAGAGAGATAGAGAGAAGAAAGATATGCAAGAAACACAGAGAGAAAATGAGAGAGAAACAGACAGACAGAGAAAGAAGAGTGATGAGTGAAAGAGATAAAGAGAAGAGATAGAGATAGAGACAGAGAGACAGGAAGATGAAAAAATGAATGAAAAGAGAAATGTTATATCAAAAGAGTAAGATGACATTGTTTTTTTTTTTTGTATTTTTCGACAGAAAGATACCGTTGAATTTATTCAAACCAATTTGTGACTGTATATATATGAAGCTGTCTCAAAACCACAATCACTATGCTAGGTTAGAGTTTTCCAAAAACTCTTTTGAGAAAATTATACTTTCTTGTTTTCCGTGTTATATTGTTTTTATTGATTTTTTTAATATTTTAAGTATTTTTTTAATTTTTAGACACATTTAACATAAATACACCTAAAAATTTAAAAAGTCGTAAAAAAAAATCTTTTAAAAATTCATTAAATACCAAAAATACACAAAAAAAAATACAATAATTCAATAATTTTTTTTTTGTATTTTTATGTATTTATTCATTTTTAAAAATATTTTTTCATAATTTTTTTATTTTTTAAATACATCTAAGTAAGGTGCATCTTAAAAAAATATTTAAAATTTTAAAAATATTCACTAAAAATTAAAAAAAAATATGAAAGTCACTTTTTGCGACGGCAGAAAATGCCATCTCAAAAAAGCAGAGTATTTGTGACGGCACCATTTGCCGTCTCAAAAGAGCAGAGCATTTGCGACGGCACTATTTGCCGTCTCAAAAAATCAGAGCATTTGCGACGGCACTATTTACCGTCGCAAATACTCTCATTTTTTTGAGATGGCAAATAGTGCCGTCGCAAATGGTCTGCTCTTTTGAGACAGCAAATGGTGCCGTCGCGAATACTCAGCTTTTTGAGACGGCATTTTCTGCCGTCGCAAAAAGTGACTTTTTGAGACGGCAAGTGTGCCGTCGCAAATAGTTCTGTCTCATAAACCCACTTTTCTTGTAGTGTAATCAAAGTGTTTTGATAATAAAAGAAGGCAATGAATAAATAAATGTTGTTGAATGACCAGCAGAAAAGTGAAATGATGAGTTATTTTTTTTATTTTTACATTTTTGAATCAAATTTGGAAATGATTGTTCAACTTTTATTCGGTGCACTGGTACTAAACAAAATCAAATAGGCCAGAGCCCTATTGCTGAACAAAACCAAATTATGCAGACAACCACTACTGAACAAAATTGAAACATCCTCACATCCATTGTCAAACCATATAGACCCATCATATTCAACATCTCACAACCGGACACACCTTGCATATTTGACAGCTCAAAACTAGACAAAGGTCATGTGTTTGGTAGTACCAAATTGTTCGTAAAATTTGGATCAATGGGAACGTAAAACAAAATCAAAAAAAGAAAAAAAAAATCAAATGGGAATACTTGATGGAGTATGTTGGGATGCTTATGAATTAAAAAAATATATATATATATATATATCAAACAATCATTTTGGAATATGGGTGTTGTTGCCGAAATGTGTCGAAGATAATGTGATGGTTAGATTGTGTCACCAATAGGGAAAAGCAAGGGGTGCTGGTCGGAGATGGTCGCAATGCAGCCGAAGATGGTGAAAGGAAGAAGAAAATGAATGGAGAAGAGGGGGAAAAAAAATGTAGGTGTAATGAGCGGAAAATAAAGTTACGACCTAGAATGGAAGACTCCTTTCTCCAATCTTCTTGATGTGATATGCAATGGAACACTCCATGTCTGGCACAATGCTAAGACCTAGAATCAAGACAAGCCGTGCAACAATGAGCTAGAGATCTATGCAACTAACTTGCAATAGCAGGAAAGATATAACATTGAGAAGTGAGCGCGAAAGCAAAAATAAAGGAGATGAAAAATTGACCAAAGTCTCTATAAGAATGATGTATTTTTACCGGCCAGCACTTTCACATAAAAGAATGATGCATTTGTATCTATGAAAAAACCCAATAAACCATGGTCCCATTGTGCAACATTAGGTTAAAAAATTTCAAGAGGAATTTTAAGATTATTGTTTTCCAATTACACATTGAATGGAGTAATTTTGGTAGCATCAATTTTTTTGTCTTTGGTGTCCTTTATTTTCACTAAGTTTACCCATGAAAAGTTGTGCAAATTTACCTTTATCTTGATTGCTCAAAATCAAGATGTGTGGCTCTCACAACACGTTAATTTGGATAAAAAAGTAAATGTGGTTTTAGTCCATAAACTATAGAAAGTAATGTATTATTTTTTCAAAAAGAGAGAAGTTTATGTGTACATAGAGAAAACCGCAGGGGTAAAGTGAAATCATAGGACTGGATAGGATATGGCCAAAAAGTAATAAAAAAAAGAAAATTCATTTGGTCTGATTGGTCAGATTCAATTTCTTAGTTAATCTTACATGCATGTTGCTTCATTTTTCACCTTAAGGAAATTCGCTGGAAAAGGTGAATCAATGACCAGCTATGCACCCTCAATATTTAACAATTGGGTTGTTTATATTTACATCTTGTGTGGCATGGTCGGCATTTATATGCTCACCCACAACATGTGTAACGCTTCAATGCAAATGAGGTAAAATGATGACAAGCAAAGAAACGACGAGTACGTAGAAATCATGCATTTGGCAATTTGCACGAGTCTTGCCTGACGTTTGGTTCGGGGCGAGACAAACTACTTACTTCCCAGCCTGAAGTTACTATTGCAGAGATATATTTATCTATTTATCTATATGGATAGGCATCATATCTCATCTCATCTCATTCATTAGTACTTCTGCTAGGCTAGTGACGCAGAGTATAAAAAGATCGATAACGCTTCAATGCAAATGAGGTAAAATGATGACAAGCAAAGAAACGACGAGTACGTAGAAATCATGCATTTGGCAATTTGCACGAGTCTTGCCTGACGTTTGGTTGGGGGCGAGACAAACTACATACTTCCCAGCCCCAACCCATGAAGTTACTATTGCAGACATATATTTATCTATTTATCTATATGGATAGGCATCATATCTCATCTCATCTCATTCATTAGTACTTCTGCTAGGCTAGTGACGCCGAGTATAAAAAGATCGAAGAAGAATAAATTCAAATAAGGAAAAATATTTGAAAATTGGCATGATTTAAAAAAAAAAAAATCAATAGAAACTATATATAAGCATATTTCTAGTATTATTATAGTCTTATTTTATGATTTTTTTTTTTTTTTTTTTTAAAATGATTTTTTTTTTTTTTTTTGTAGAATTTTTATATCAGAGGTATTGTGGTAAATTTTATATTTAAAGACTCGGGCTGTAGGATCCGTGGGTTATCTTGTGGGTCAAGTTAATTAGTTTTTATTTATGTTTCTTATTCGGTCTTAAATTGATTTTGAAAGTCAAATTATTTTTAATATGTTTTTTTTTTTTTTTTTTTGTTCTAATTAGAATATAAAGTTTTTTTAGTCTATATAAAGTATGACTGAGTAAGAAATCCGTGAAATCTGTAATCCAATCCGATCCGATCTGGTTCAGCCCAATCCGGTATGTTTAGATTGGTTTTTTGAATCTGTGGTTCGGTTCCAGATTGAAAAATAAAAAATCGATAGTCCACGGATCAATTTCGGATTGAACCCCATGATTCCAGATTGGAACCGATTTGGACCGTATACAAATAACCTATATTTATATTATACACTCTCCATCATAGTATCTTCTCTTATTTCATACAAAACCTAAATTCAAACCTAAACCCGCACAGTATCTTCTTTTATTGCTTTTGTTTGTTGGTTTTTAGTTTTAATTTGTAATGGTGTAAATATTTATGGTGGAACCAGTTTTCTTATGGTTATTTAAATTCTAGAACAGCATGTCGCTCTTATAGAAAGACATATTGCTATTATGGAACTAATATGATGCTATGTCTATATTTTTATGAAATTAAAATGTTTTGTATATTTTTTTTGTTATTTAATTATGTGAATCTGCAATCCTAAACCAATCCAATCCGTGTTTAAATAGAATGGTTCGGATTGGTTTTAAGATTTAAACGGACTAGATTGGTTCTAATTTTTCAAGAACTGTAGATAACGAATTGGTCCTGATTTTACCTCAATCTAGACGAATCCGAACCATGCTCACCCCTAATACAAAGTGATCTAATGTTTCTAATTTAATAGAATTGATATTTTAAATAATTTTAAGAGATTTTGAAACTTTTTTTATGAATTGTATGATGCAATGAAACTCTAAATGAGATATCTAATATGCGCAAGGGTGATTCCTACAAAACTATATTCTTCTACTCCTTTCTTTCTTAAATTTCAACACTTCCATAGCTCAAATACCGTTCACAACATCCAAAACAGCCCCAAAAATCAATATTCTTATTACCTTAAGCCTTTGCCCTAATTCTTCCATACACTAGTAGAGGTCCTAAAATTTCCATTACTTTTCAGCTTGAAATCACAATAAAAATCTATTGAAGTTCAGCTTTAAAGTTCTAACAACATTGTCCTACATCAGCTAGCTTTGCATAGGCAACAGTATTGGTGGTGGATGTCCTTGGAGGAATGCCTTGTTTATGCCTAAAAACATTATGTGGTGAGAGGAGGCTGAGGTGGAAGAGGGAATTGGGTTAATGATATTGGTAGCGGGAAAAGAGTTTGGCGTTTAGCATATGGAGTTAGTGGAGGGCGGGAGAGGGACTGAGAAGGCAACAAAAGGTGGGGATGAAGTTAGTAGTGAATGGATTTGGTGAGGGAATGAGTTGTCGATTGTTAGGGAAGGGGAATGCAGATGGGCAGAGAGAATTATGTGGGGAGGGGCTAGAAGGCTAGGGAAGTAGTAAATGGTGAGGATAGGGCTAGTATTGAAGTTAAGTTGGATAGCGGTAAACGACAACTGAGTGTGACAATAGTAGCAACGGAAATAGGCGTTAGTGTCAACAAATGGAGTTACTAAAAGGTGGGCAATGGTAAGGGTAAGAAAGGCACAGATGATGGGGTTGGCAGTGACAGTGTTGGATGGGAGAGGGTGGTGGTTAGCAGCTGGGAAGGATGGTAGGCATCTAGAGAATGCAGCGGAAAAAAAGAGTGAAGAGATGTGTGTGTGTGTGTGTGTGTGTGTGTGTGTGTGTGTGTGTGTGTGTGTGTGAGAGAGAGAGAGAGAGAGAGAGAGAGAGAGTGGGGCTAAGGAGCAAAAAATGCAAAAATGCAAAAAAATTAGGTAGCGTTTGGGAGAGTTTTCTAAATATGATTTGAGAATAGAGTTGTATTTTGAGTTTGTGAGTTTTGAAATTATGATTCGAGTATAGAAAATTTATTTAGTTATGAGTTTTGAAAAGAGTTTTGAATTAAGTTTTAAGTTAAGTGTTGAATTGAGTTTTTATTGTTTGATGTAACATGTGAAATAAGAAAATTTATTTGATTATGAGTTTCGGAAAACGTTTTCAAAACTTAATTCAAATTATTATAACTCATAACCAAAAACACTATTCAAAATTCTAATCAATAAGCGAACTCTTTTTAAAATTCAATTAAAAAAATTAATTATTAACAGAAAATAACATTAATCAATTTTTTTAATTGAAAATATTACAAAGGCAATATTTTGTTTTTCAAAATAAATATTCAATTACTAAATTAAAATAACTTTTGATTGTATATTTGGTAGGAATTTTTTTAAGTATTTTTCAAGTAAAATATTTTCATATTTTTAATAATTATTGTCACAAATTATTTGCTATTTATTGTATTGTTATTTTCAAATAAATGGCTAAAAATTTTATCAAGTGTCATCTATATGAGAGTCAAACAAAAATTGAAATATTATTTTGTCAGCATCCACACAGTTTAACACAAAATTCAATTTTACCCAAATTTTTATATTCGCTTTCAATAGAAAATTAGTCTACAATAGCACGTATGTATATATGAATGAGTTATCATAAAAAATTAAAAAAAATTAAAAAAAAAAAAGAAAAAGAAAAAGAAAAAGAAAACCATTGTAGTGCTCAACCGGCCGGACATCCGGGGGGATGTCCAAGGACAGGATGTCCTGTAGACACAAAAAATTCAAAAACTGTGTGAAAAAGTGAGAGTTTTGCATTAAAAGTTTGTTTTGAAATAAGCTCTACCAAACGTAAAATAGAAATATATTTTGAAATGTGTGGTGTAATTAATTTTCAAAAACCCCATCCAAACACTTTGTTCACATGAAGAGGTTAAATTATAATTGAAAAACTGTACCACACACAACCATAAATTTTGCACATGATATACAACTTTCCACGTCTAGTATAATTACAATCGATTCCCCACCCTTTCATAATTAGCTATCCCACATTCCACTTTTGTGTAATCCTCCCTATTTTAATTCAACAATTATCCAACATTTCATTTTTGTTTAATTCTCCCTATTTTAATTGAGTAATTACGTACTCATTTCTTCCATTGAGAACTAAACATGTCCTTATCCCTCCCACCACCTATTCTCATGTCTCACGGCTAACATCTTTCATCCCCTTGCCACCACCTCTTCCTTTGAACCCAACCCATACACCATAACAAATATCCTAGCCTAGAAACTCCAATCACCCGCCTTCCACCACCTCTTCTTCTTTGAACCCACTGCATTCTTCATAATTGAAATCTTAGCCTGCGAACTCCAATCACATAGAAAAGGTAATAAACAGTGAAGACTTTGGTAGAGAGATTGCGAGGAACTACAGAAAAATGAAAACCAATACTACAATGAGAGAGTGCTATGAAAAATACCACATCACCTAATCACCACTCCTTCAATGACAACTGGATGGTGGCATGAGATTGAGATCGAATAGCCTTTCTCACCATTGAGCTCACTGCAACAAATAGGGCACGAAGTTACGAGAGTAACAAATTATGCTTCCTCCATGCCAAACTTTCCATCTTAAGTGAATATATCTATTTCAATGCTACAAAAACAGTTGGGGTAAGCATCAACTTGCCGGTGACATCTCTATTGACGGGGGTTTAAGTCACACTCTATAAATAGGTGTACAGTTGCATTCATCTTGTCCTCTCTAAAGTCTTCTTTAACGAGAACTTCATGTATTATGTAAGAATACTAACATGAGCATAAAACTTGAGCAGAGCAACATATTCAACTTCTTCCCTGCCAAACTTTCCATCTGATGCAAGTGAATACATCCATTACAATGTCGCAAAATATTAGGGTAAACATTGTTCACTTTCACATTTTATGTGCACCGGATTGTCTGTAGCTACTGATGTCGTCCCCATCTATCTGACAAAACATCATCCCCTCACAATCCGACAGCATCCTCTATATGCATTCCCTGGGCTAGTTGCCATGCATTTATAAATTACTGAGTGCAATCTCCTTTAGCCAAGGGGGCTAGAAGTTGAACTCCCAATTCAAGGGCAGTGAAAAATCAACTAAGCTTGGGCAATATTTTCATGTAAAATGTTTTCGCAATTTTAACACAAATAATAATAATAATAATAATAATAATAATAAACAATTTAAGCAGTCAGTATATTGATATAAATAATCTATCAACTAGGTCATCTGCCAACGAAAATCCTATTTAAACAATTTAAGCACTGTCAGTATATTGATATAAATAGTCCAACTAGGTCATCTGCCAAAGAAAATCCTATTTACAACATCAACTGGCAAAGCATAAGCAGGATCTATAGCTTTCAATCCTGGATATTCAAGAAGTGAAAGACCTGAAAATAAACCAAACAAGGAAAGTACAGTAAATTATGACATGTAAAAAATTTGAACAACTCTATGTTTACAAACTAACATAGAATTGTTTTTAAAGATTAACGAAGTTCTTTTCTTTGCGCAAAAATAAAACAGAAAAATTTCTATGCATAGAGTAAGATTCTTATGTATGGCTTCATCATAAAGCTCTACTAGTGATATATATTTGTTAAGTGCATGTCCAACTAGACATGTTGGACACATCCCATATAACCACATTGTCAAGAGTCTAACACAAGTACTACACAGATTTAAGTCAGATGGATTCTTCTCAGCATAGCCCACATAAATTAGATGGAACTAAAAATAGAGAAGAGAAGCCCATTAGGCTAGCCTAAGAAGCACATACACTTCTAAGGTGGCGTAGCGTGATGTGGCAGATACTGACATGACACAACATTTGTCCAACACTTTCCGACATGTGTCAGACACACCCTCAAACATGTCCTCCTATTTGAAAAAAAATAGACTTGGGCCCACTTCAGACACTTCAAAAGCACATGTCTAGCACATAACCTATAATTATATTCTTATATATGCCATGCAATAAAAATATTAAACTATATACTTTGTGCATCTACCATTACCCTACATGTCGTGTCTCACATTCTTTACATATTTTCATGTTGTGTGTGTGTGTGTGTGTGTGTGAGAGAGAGAGAGAGAGAGAGGCCCACCTATCTCGCCAAACAATATGGGTGCATTTGGTTATCAAGGCCTAGTTTGAAATGCAACAATATTGAGAAATCAATTATTGAAATGTTTGGCCAAGCATGGGATTAGGTCTTAAAAAATTACAATAGACGGCTCAACCACATTTTGAGACAATGGGATTAGATTTTGACTAAACTTTTGGAAATTTCATTTGATATGGGTTGAGGATCATGGTTCCAAATACCAGCTGGTTCACAGCGAACCGGACGGTTTGTATTGAAAACCAAAATCATAGGTGAATTCGCCGGTTCACAATGCGAACCGGCCAATAACAGATAAACAAGCTGAGTAATCAGCAAATCAGTCTGGTTTGCCAAAAAGAGCTGTCAAACTTCCAACTATTTAGCTGGTTGCGTGGCTCAAACCCAAGCTGCGTGCAACCTGTCTTGGTGTGGAGATCTGGGGCTTCGTTTTTATACTTAGTGGCAAACTTCCTTCTTATTTCTCCCACCGATGTGGGATAGAAAGTTTTGCTTTTGAAAGATAGAAGGAAGCTAATCTTTTATAGTTTGAGGAATGCTTCAAGGCTGTGATAGCCCAGCAATGTGGGATTTCAATAAAATCCTCAATATTTGTTAACGGTTTTGTTGTTAATGGATGTAAAGGGGGTAAAACAATTGATGTAAATGTGACCAAATAGAATTTAGAAAGTCAAAAATTAGTATCCTTGAGTTTTAGAAGGTTGTGAATGTTTTTTAAAATTTCACAACCTCAATGCCCAATTCCCAATACATAATGCTCACTACTCCCGATATCATTACACCGCAATCGATACTAATTTGTATTCCGATACTGCTATTTAGAATCATGGTTGAGATATCACTCATTAATTATGTTACATGAACACTAATAAACATGGGGAGTATTCGTGTCAGATTTTGTCCAACAACTCTAGTTAGACATGCACCCAACAGGCATGTTTGAAAATTTAAGTTTACCATATAATTGTATATATCTTCATTAATATGTTATTTCCGTAACGTTTTTGCATCAAAATAGGTGAAATACCATGCTTATGCGTTGAACGAAAACATCAGCATACCTACGGGAAGGAAGAAAGAACTGAGAACTACCATGACTTGTCTCAATGTCCATAAATTTGGGAATTTTCATTTAACGCCTAAACACATAACATAACATAACTTGAGTACATACTCGAGTACATAACATAACTTATGACCTTATGAGCCATATGAAGTCAGTGCCAATATAATAATATTATAGAATAAATGCCAGCGAACTGAATGGATATTTAGAAAACCAAGCAATAGCATATTCAGTAATTAATTTCTAAAAATTAATTTAGTTATTTTAGTGTTCTAATAATACAATTAAAGTTCCTCTAAAATTAATGCATTCATGATTATTTTCATGTAACCTTAAATAACTATGTTACATCAGTTTTTAGCAAATAATCTTTAACATAACTTCATTTTTTAAGTACGTTATTCAATTTTTAACTCAATGATGCTATAAATCAAGTATTACTAAATTTTATTATTATTTTTATATATCCATATATCTCAATAATTAACTTTACTTGTAGTCAATTATTGGCTCAACATATATGTAGCTTTAACTTTCTTCTACATTTGAACATTGATTGATTCCTATGAGAATGAGAATGCTACCCCTCTTCGTGGGTTGGATATCTATGAATGGGATTCTTTTTACTAATAGCATGTGCCCAACACGAGAATCAAGCAGGATGTGAATAGGATATACATTTGCCCCCTCAATTCCACTCAACCAAAAGCACACTTTGGAAAACAAAACGACAAAAGACATAGAAAAAGACGATGACATCATCATCATCATCATCATAATAATAATAATAGTAGAAAGAGAAAATTATTGAAAAGTCCAATCTAGGGAGGGTATAAGGTATTAGGTGCCATGAGTATTTTTTTCTTGGCGAGAAGTACACATTTGTAAAATATTGGGGCAAAAAGTACATTTTATTATTTAGGACATTTTGTTTCCAATTTTATCGCTCAACCTATCTATTTAATTTTTTTGACTATCTACTTAAATATTTTTTTATCTGTTGAATTTTTTTAACTTATCTGTTGAAATTATCTGTTCAAAAATCTATTTGTTAAAATTTACCAAACTTATTTTTTTTATTTGTTGAAATTTACAGAGCATATTTCCATATGATCTGTTGAAATTATCAAAAAATCTATCTGTTAAAATTTACTAAACTTAATTTTTCTTTATTTGTTGAAATTAACAAAGCATATTCCATGATTTGTTGAAAAATTTTCCCGGATCCACTTTCTCTCTTATCTATTGAACCAAGACTCTCCTTATGCACCAATGCATGATTTGTTGAAAATGTTTGCTAAAATGTTGAACCATTGAAGATGTTTTCACCTCTTGTCTTGGGTTGGGGTATCTTTACACCCATTGCTTCTTGAAGTCACATTGTAAGTGGTGGTGCAGCCTTGGACCACCGCATGTAGATTCCAGTCATCATCTGCTGCTATGGTTTTCTAGAGAGAAAGTTAGAGAGAGAGGCTTTGACTCGTATCCTCTGTTTCCAAAGCTCGTTCCAGTCCTCAATTCTGTGATCTCACCCTCTTGTCGCTTCTATATGTTCGACGATGGTTGTGGTGAGGAGATGACGGCGATGATGGAGACGGCATCGGTGGTGATGTCGGGATCCAAGAACTTGAGATCGCTGTAGAAGATTTCCCAAAGGTTAGTGGTGAGACAGGTGGAGCAGATGAGATCGAAGACAAGCTTTTTTTAGATGGCGGAGGCAAGAGAGGCAACGATCTCTTCATTGGTGTTGAAGGGACGCATTACGACGGCGGTGGTGGGATAAATCAGGAGGATAGAGAAGGGGTTTGAGAGAGAGAGAGAGTATTGAGAATTAGTTTTGAATAGATAACGTGTTGAGTGGGTACTTTGGTCATTTTGCAAGAGGTTGTTCTCATGGACATAATATTTTAGCACATGGATCTTTAGGCAAAGAAAATCTAAGTTTGAACTTATCGCCTGAGCGCCATAATAATAATAAAAGAACATAAAAACTTAAATGGCAATTTATTCATTGATTTATGAATTGAAAATGCTCAATTCCACCCAAAATATAAGACAGAACGCAGCACACTATGTAGTATAATATCTAAGTTTCTGTTTGAAAAAGATCTCCACTTGCAAAGTAGAGTTGTAAAGCCCCCCAAACATAAGAAGGGGAACTAAGGCCAAGCTATCCATCGACATTATACTTGACCAACTCGTGTCCATACCTACGCCAACTAAAAATACCCCAGTGATCTCATTTTCAGACAAATATCTGCCTACAAAGGGAGCCAACCATAACAAACAACTATATGTGTTGTTTGAAATACCGTGACAAATTGG